AAATATCCACAAGCAGTAAACAGCCTGTAAAGACTAAGCCTTGAGACATTTACGTAACGGCCGCCCATGAAAGACAAATGCTGATTACACCAGCAGATAAAGTCAGCGATGTTACATTCCGTTTTAGAAAAGACCGCTGACAAGTTGTTAAGATCGATTAAGACATTATTTTAATTCGATAACACGACATAACAGGCGATGTATGATGTAATTTCACAGCATTTACTGTCTAACTCCTCGGAATTTATGGTGTTATTATACTTGTACAAATCAGCAGCTGAATTATGTAGCATCTCCATTAATGCCTCTTGGCATACGTTCTATGTATCTCTTGTGTTCCGCTTCTGTGATGAAGTTGCAGTGCACTGTTTGCGGCAACATTTAAATACGCACAGATGCGGCAAAGTGCAAGTATCTTAGTTTCCTGATTTTTTACTTTAATTTATCGACCAATGCAGCTGTGCTCAGTGTAAAGGATCTAAAGGATTCAGAGACGAGCTTGAATAGACAAAAATGAATCTAAATGTCAGATATTTATTACGAACCTTTAAGTTGTTTTGTTTGATCTATGTTGTCAGACCTCTTGAGAGCTTTTCTACAGAACAGCTTTACTCCATCGTTCTCCAGCATCTTTGTCATTTTTGTATATTTGTGTTTTTGGCTGAGCAGCCTCTTATTCCAACAACAATGCTCCAGGAAGTCACACTTCTCGCAAATCATTTTATTCATTCACTACAAGAGACGCATTCTGCATCGGCGCGCTTTGCATAGTCGCAGCTCCGAGCAAACTTGTGTCACTAACAACTAAATGATAAGACAAAATGAGATATAATGCTTATTAGGCTTGGCTCTCTATCGCAGCAGAGCAGACAGGAGTTCTCGCCTTTTGGAGAAAAGCTGTCTGGGGAGTTGCCAGGCAACAGGGCTGTTGGCGGCAGGCGGTGGTGATGGCGGTAAAAGTGCCGGTTCGCTGTCATTTTTCAGAGCATTAGCCTTCTAACGGGATCACTCTGGGAGGGCTGCAGCGAGCACAGTGGTGGCAGATTGTCTATGGAGAGATGGATCTAGATGAAGCGACTGAGGGAGTGATAGAAGAGGGGAGAAGAAACGAAGGGTGCGACGGAAAGACGACCGGAGCATGAAGTATGGATGGAAAGATTGAATGTAAAATAAGTGGAGTAATCAAGGGGACGAACAGATCGAGAAGTAGATGATGCTGATCCTGTTTTCTCAAAGGGAAAGCTTGAGGAAATCAGAAAGAGCTATGAAAAGGTGGAGATAAAGATTAGGATTCCAACTATCTGATACACAAGTCATGGTTTTGCACAGGGATGAACATTTATTGTTTATTGTCGTAGCTCACTTACTACACTAGCACAAGTGGCAAAAACCAGACTTGAAAGCACAAAACTAAATTTAGAAATTCCTATTGTTGGCCATTTCGTCTTCCAGCTTCTGTAACTAAGCTTATGAACGGGATTCTGTTCAGCAAGTGACTGAAGTTTCCTGTTACCACGCAACAACGATGAGCCTTTGTACAAAAATAAAACTAGACATGAATATGCTCATTGTGATGAATTATCTATCTCAAAAAGAAGTCTATTTCCCCCACCCCCCACCCCAAGTCGATTATTATACTGAACTGAATTAATTAAAAGACAGAGCTGCCTGAAAGGAAGGTTTCAAAAACCTAAACTGAATGATGTGTTTGGAAAATTTCACTTGTTCACTAAACCCTCATTAAATACTGTCATGTTCCTTTGAAGTCATTTAAAAGATGAAAAGAGCTCAGACAAAAACTCCAGCCGCATGGAGAATCCTGCCTTTCTGTTTTCCCATGACTCCAAAAGTAGAGCTACTGGGGCTTGTTCTAAGATATGGATCTCGATCTGATTGTATCACGCCCTCTGGCCCACTGGACAGCAAGAATAGATAGACCAGTATGTGAGGGGAGGTGGAGAGCTCACTCATTGTCACCTGCAGCTACTTCACACAGAGGTGTGTCAGTGTGAAACATATGTCACTGTGGGTGCCAGCTTGTGCACATTCTGGCTGTCTGTGCGCTGTGTATGCATGTGTGTAGAAATGAGCTATTAGGTAAAAACTGAACAGAAGAACTTCATCCCTCAAACCAGTCGTTAAAACGCAGGAGATTTTCACCACTGTGAAAGAATGAGGGAGAGATGAGGACAAAAATAATATAGGTCTCTTGGCTGGAATTTTAGACTACTGCAACAGTCTGTGTCAGTGTAATGTTGGGCAAAAGAGATGAAAATGACTGTGGTGGAAAAAAGACATGAAA